CCATCATACACCTCTTACCCTTAATCAAAAAAAAAGTTCAAAAAAACACATTTAATATGTGAGAGAGAGAGAGATGCTATGATGGAGATCCAAGTCTTAATCATATTATATTTTCAGAATAAGAGAGAGAGAGAGATGCTATCATGGAGCTCAAACTCTTAATCAAACTGCATATTGAAAAAAAAAACACACAAGTAATGTGAGATGTGGTAAATTTGCAGACACAATGCATCTAAAGAAACAACACCATCCTACCACAACTTCTTCTTTCAAATGAACCAGAAAAAGATAAAGTAAAAATTTTTAGAGAGTAACCTAATGTAAGTTCTTCGAACTCACCGCCATTTCACTCCTTCCCAAACAGTAGTCTATGCTCTCTCGACCTCTGGATATTAAACTTTGGGAGAAAGAGAGAGAGCGGTCTCATTACTTGTACTCTGAATCACTTTGGATTACATGCACAACCTAAACAAAGTCAAATGTGCTCTAAGAAGCAAGTTTTCAAATTGTACACCATACCAAAAGTTTCCAAATAGTATACCGTACGAACATAGTAGTTTACACAACCACCCATCAATCCCCAAGTTTATATAAGAAAGTATTTATGTAGTCCTATTGATTATGGAAGGAATTGAATGATGTAAGACCATCTATCTTTGGGATAAGGGGTCCGGACTAATCTTAACCATTAAATGTCAAATCAGACGGCTTAAGTATCTCACAGAGTTTGAAAAAAATTTCTTCCAACTTTGAACGATTTCAAATCTAACAGTTAAAAGTAACTATGACCTCCTTACGCAAAAGATAAATGGTGTGGTTTCCAAAAGGTGGCAACCTTAAACAATCCAATCAAGGCGCACCTCCAAATTTATCATTACATGTAATTTTGGTGTAAATGTTTTTAGGATTATCTCAAAACCTATTTTTATATCTAATTCTAAAATTTTAAACTCAAAAAATCATTAAAATCAAGTGGATCTATAAACATATGAAAATCTTGAAAATAGACGGTCTAGATAATGTGTTTCAAGATGCACTATTTCAGGGACTCAAAAAGAAATTTCTTTCATATTCATACATCATGATGTTGAGGTGATCAATTCGATGGTTTTTTCAACATTAAAACAACATTATCCGATGATTTTTGAGATGCATTTATAATTCTACATTTTAAGATTACAACCTGATATCAACTTTTGCCAAAGATAAATATTATGGGGATATTATAACTCCACAAATAGGTTTCCTTAGGCGACCCCAAATAGATGTGAAAATGTATTGATGATAATAATGACTCCATAAGTGAGTTCCCTCTCTTGTCATTGTCCACCTATTGATTGGGTGACGATAACCCATTTCTTATCATCTTTGAAATCCTTTCATGCTTGAAAGGGGTCAAAAGCAGTGTTTTAAAACCATTGAATTTAAACCAATCAATTTTATTGCAAAAAAAGTTTCCTGCAAGTCTATAGAAAGAAAACATATCAGTTCGATCATCACTATTCACTGAAAGGATAGAGGACGATAGAACAAGTGTAGTGTTCGATATGTGACCATGCTATTGAATTGGACAATTAGTGAAGACTAAAGGGCCGTTTGGATACTCAAAAATACATCTCTAGAAAAAAAAAAATTCAGTGGAGATGGCACATTTATGGCATTTGGATCGAAAGTTTGGGACAGAAAAATATTTCTGCCAAAAACTATTTTCTTTATTTTATGCCAAAAAATAAAGAAATATGTATCCTTGCCTTTACCCTCATAAATTGATTTCCAACCGAATTTTCCCTTACTGAGATCCCTACTTTATAAAATTCAATTATTTCTACTAAAACACTGCCATGAATTAGAACGAGAAACCAACTTAAATTTTAACTTTTAGAGAGAGAAAGTATCTTAAAATTTTAGAAAGATAAATTATATATAATTTTAGAGAGAAAAACTATCTAAAAATTTTAGACAAACTATCTCAAAATTTTTACAAAGAGAAACTATCTCAAATTTTAAGTTTTTGAGAGAAAAAGTATCGTAATAATTTTGTGAGAGAAACTATATCAAATTTTAGAGAGAGAAAGTATCTAAAAAAGTTTAGAGAGAAAAACTATCTTAAGTTTTAAGTTTTAGAGAGAGCAAGTACCTGAAAATTTTAGAGGGAAACTATCTCAAAATTTTACAGAGATAAATTATCTCAAAAATTTTAGAGAGAGAAAATATCTCAAAAATTTTAGAGAGTGAAACTATCTTAAAATTTTTAGAAAGAGAAACTATCTTAATCAAAAGCATTTAAAAAATAAAAATAAAAGTCATAGTCATTCAAACAAATAGGAAATACTTTTTTCAAAAAATATATCTCAAAGAAAATAGATTTTTCCTAACAATCTTTTTCCTTGGATCCAAACGGCCTTAATTCAGCTCATGTAATTTACCCATTGTAAATATTTCTTTCTTATCTATAAGGTTCCCTCAATTTGTTCATAGGATTGGAACTCAAGAACATTACTGGCATAGGGAATCCTTCAAAGTATGGCACTTATAGGAGTTACAATAAGCCACAAGATTGTAGGCTGTCTTGTCGTATATTCACTCCCCCGGTAAAACTCTGCTGAAGAGTATTTTCGGATTGCATAATTGGAGGATAACTCGTCATTAAAATGACCAAAATAAAAAATAAAAAATAATAGATAAATATTTAAATTATTGGATTGCATACAATGAGACGGTTTACCTTTGATACAAGATGGTCACAATTCCTTACAAGCATCCAATGTAAATTTTGATTGCTTGAATGTGTCACAAAGTTCGAAAAAAAAAATTTTGAGGTTTGAGTTTGGTCAATAGAATAATTGCAACCACCCAATTTCACATCCAATGGTCAAGATTAATATCTCACCTTGTACCAAAGGTAAATGATCCCATTCTATACTTTCCCTTAAATTATATATACTTTGTGTGTTGTGTTCTTAGAAAAAAAAAAAGTAATCTCCTAAGACTGAACTGCAGAGCCCTCCAATTTTTAGTGGGTTAGATCTAAGTACTTAGACCTCGTCTTATTTTTATTTTTCTATTCTTTTTTTAATACTAACTTTGCGGTTCTAAATTGGATAATTAAACTTCTAATCGAGACAAATTCTCTTAAGTAGGTTTTTTATCGAGTAGTAATTTGATGATGTACTTTTGTTATAGTTTCTTATACGTTCTTTTATCTAAAGGGATTGCATAAAATTTGAACTTTGTGCTTGGTCAATAGAATAAATGTAACCACCGAATTTCAAATCGAAAGGTCAAGAGTAATTGTGACCACCTTGTAAAAATGTAAACGGTCACGATCAAGTTTCGAATTTATTGAAAAAAAATGTGGACTCTAGCAACACCCCCATCAAGAAATAGTCTCCCACCCAAACACTAGAGAATCCTTTTACCTTAAAATTTTGTTGTTCTTAGTATCAATGACAAAATTTAATTATGAGTTAAACATAAAATGCTTCTAAATTATTTCTCCTCAGTAACTGACACCGGACACCCATTTGAACAAAGATCAAAATTGTCCACCAAGTGAATCAAGGATGACCTCAAAACATTTTGATAAGAATAATATTAAAAAAAAAAAAAAGTTCATCCAAATTTTTTTTTTGGGTGTGAGATCCTTTCTCCAACGAGGGTTAGGACCATGAAAGTAGTAAACCAGCACATGGGAGGCATAGCACATCTACTCCTGAGAAGAGTAAACCAGCAATCCATCAGCAAGAAAAAGTTGCTCCCTATTGTGGGGTGGTGTACTGGGATTGTGGCGTGGTGTATTGGAAGGCAGGTAGGGAATAGTTGGAGCGTGTGAACCGTCAGTGGTGGTTGATAAGATGACTAACTAGGTTTCCCTAAGGGTTCGACATGGTTAACCGACTGGGTCGGACACAATGGTTGTTGGCTGGCAAGGCCGCTAAGGCCATTAGGCAAAGCCTGGTCAGTCCCATGATTGAGATCTTGTCCCTGACTCGTTAATGTCTACAGAAAAGCTTGTAAAATAGACCCATTTTGAATTTCACATTTTTCCTAAGGTCCTAAACCTTAAAACCTAAGGAATGACTTTCAAATCATAGAAAACAGCCTTAGTTCTGCCCAACATACCTATAGGGACCACACTATTGGGTTTATGTGGCCTTTAAAGGCCTTATGAGAGCTTGTATGAGCATTTTATATAGTGAAATATAAACTCAGTAGGAGTGTGGTCCTTTTGTGGACCATACTAGGCAAATGTTGTTTGTTGATATTTGGATTAGGCTCGACGAGCTAGGCCAGTCGAGGTTGGGAAAAACCCAAGATACTTGGGCATAGGGTTCTACAGAGAAGGGTTTAGTGGGTTATCCCTTGATGAGGTCGGAGTATGCCTAGATGAGAGCCAAGGGACTGTGTAGCCCATGCGTGTGATGAATAGCTTAGAGACGGGCTAAAATATCATCGTTATATCATCACACGACATATACATAGGTAGCCATTTTGATATTCACCAATGAGGGTGAAGCGTGTACATGTGCGAGAAATTACCCTATGCACCATAGAGTCATTGTTGCATCATGGTCTGGAGGACCATGATTTTTGTCTCTAGGGGAGGAAATCTAGAAACTGGAATTGCGTCCCCTAGTCTATTGGCTGGCTTTTGTGGTCTAATCATGAACCCCTGCAATAGACTGTGGATCATGGGAATTACTGGGTCAGTTTGAGAAAACTAGACAGATTGTGATTCATAGTTGAAGGTGGAGTGCTCCCATGTATTGATAAATTCCTAGATCTAACAGATTCGATTCTCGTCAAAAACTTTTGTGATTTTTAGAATTTTATTTGAATATTTTGTGAATCTTCTGATATTTAATTTTCATCATTTGAATTTATAAATTAAGAGAAATTAATTTTTCAATGTTTTAAATAAAATATAAGATTTAAAAATTTTAAATATGAAATAAAATATTTTTTAAAAGTATTTGGGACCTCTATAAAATATGGGGCCCAAAATTTAAAAAGATGTGGGTTAGGTGGGGCCTACACGTGGCCACCCAAACCGTGGCCCACCCCCACCCATTCACGTAACATTATTGGGAATATTGTTTATCCTCTTGGTTGGCCTATCTTTTTAATTATAGCCAAATTATGTGATAATGTTGAATATTTGAGTTATTTACTAAATCTTTGAATCAAGATTGGTTGATCTAATAATTAAGGATTAGATATATTAAAATGTAATTTTTTCTTATTTGACTGGAATATATTTAGGAAATGGAAGATAAGGCTCTAGTTCATCTCTTTGAATCTTGATGGTGGATCAAAGAGATTGGTGGCTCAAATCTCCTTAGATT